GTAACGATTTGCATCGTTACAATATTGTTCCAATTGAAATTGTGATTTTGTTCTATTGCATGTCTGGCTAATACAGATGTATCAACGTGGCACTTGGTTACTTTAGTAACCTTTTCGCTCCGGGGATTTTTCCTTTAAAATTGACCTCGCATTTTAGCTGAATTTCATGACTTAAATGAATGAACTTCTTATGACAAGTCGCCACTCGGAGTGCTGGTCCATATATGGACCACTCCCGGAGAGAAAGTTAAGGCTAATGTAAAAAATTATAAGTGATGGTTTAAGAGCGCTTTTCAATGGTTTTTGATGTGCTAAGTACAATAAAAATAGTAAAAAAAATGTCAGATTCATATTTGACCTTGAACTTTGAAGGTCAAATAATAAAAATGCGTATTTGAGCTTGAAAATTGGTATACCTATGTTTTATGAACCGCTAAATACGATAAAAATAGTAAAAAAAGTTTTAGTCACCTCTTTGACCTTGAACTTTGAAGGTCAAAGCATGAAATTGGGTATTTGCGCTCGAAAAATGGCACTTCACAGACTTTCTGTTAGTAAGAAGACATTCTAGACAGTCCGTAGTGCAGAAGTACTAAGTTCTACCCTCTGATTGAACGCGTTCTACCGCCCAATGGGACTTCACAGTCCCTCAGTCAATGAGAGTGGATGTAAGTTCCTTCACTAGCTCCATACACCTTGGAATTTTATAATTCTACAAAAGGCTTTCGCTGTTAGCGTTACCCAGAATCAACGACGTGGACGTTGCGAAAATATGATTTCTTTGGGGTGCTTGTTTATTGTGAGTTCCCTTGCCTCTCACGTCACACCATTAGACATTATGTTAGTGTCTGTTGTGTGTGGTACTCTTCAAAACATGGAGTTACGCACAGAGGAATATCACACGTGGAACAAATGTACGAGGTTCTTCGTGTTATCTTTCGCAAACTGCATAAGTGGCATCTTCGTCGTGTACTGTCCTTCGGAAAATGACGTCCAATCAATCGATTAGGGTGACTAACGTTTCGAGGGATGCTTTCAGAAACACACTTCAACAAAGCCCTGACAACCTCTAATCGAAACTCTGGAAATAGAGCAGGTCCTGCATTTCTCATTTTATACATGGCGTGAGCGTTTGAGAGGCACAAATCCACTAGGTGAAAAAATAGTTTGCGATACCATTTCATTGTTTTTCGTACAGTTTCAGTGATGGATACTTGTCTGTCTACATTGTCTGCACCTCCCATATTTTGGTTATAGTCGTGGATACACGTTGGTTTCATGATATCCTCATCTGTGCCACGACGTTTCTTGCCAGTTGGACAAAAATCAACTTCGTGCACAGTTGACAACATACGCACACTTCTTTTGTCCTCCCATTACATTGCCATCCAGACGTCAGTGTGAGCAACTTGTATTTGTCCTCGTGATAACTTATCTTCCAGTTTCGGCATTCCCTTTCTATTTGCTGTTACTGTCCCACACAGACCAGTATCTCGGTCATGCAAAAATTCTGCCAAGGCAGGCGATGTGTACCAATTGTCAACATACACAACGCGACCCTGACGATGGTTCTAAGAAGTGGGCGACAATATCTCCAGGAACACCTAATCCGAACTTTCTATAGTCAGTGTCTGCTCCTGTATACACAATAAAGTTTTGAATGAATCCCGTTTCATAGTCAACTAGCTCAAACAGCTTGATGCTAAACCGATTTCGCTTTAAAGGTATATACTGTTTGAATCTAAGCCGCCCTTTCCAAAGTAATAGACTTTCATCAATACAGACTTTTTTTCCCTGGAGTGAGAGCTGCTGAAAATTTAGATTGAAGAAAATCTATTACTGGCTTAATTTTCGCTAAAGTATGGCCTGCAATATCCAATGTCGTATTTTCATTGTCGTGAAAATGAATGTAACACAAAATCTGCAAGTATCTGTCGCGAGACATCATCTGACGAAAAATTGGAGTTTGTACTAATTGATCAGTCGACCAATAACTATGTAATTCGCCTTTCCGAACGTGTCCCATGAGAATCGAAAGGCCAAGAAAAATTTCGAAGTCTTCTTTTGTAAAGGGAGTCCAAGGCTTCATATGGTCACTTTGAATTCCAGGATTTTGAAAATGATAACGATTAGTTTCTTCAATAATCATTTCAATCAGTGAGGAGTCAAAAAAATAATTGAAGAAGTCTATAGGTGTATTACCTGCTACATTGATGTTTTGATTGATTTCAGAGGTACCGTTGAAATCCTTTATTGATGGAAAAAACCACGAGTCTTCATAAATTTGATCTTCGACATACTCCACATTTTCTAAATCTTCAAAATCAATATCATATGTTTCTTCATCGTCAGAGTCTCTTTCCTCTGGCTCAGATTCGCCGCTTGTCCAAGCTTCATCGTCAGCCATTATCTCAAAGATAAGTGATGGAACACTTCTTGAATAGCAAAATGTAATAACAATAACGAACAACTACTATGCTAATTAGAATATATACGTGGAAGTGTGAAAAAGAACTAAATACTATCTCGTTGTCAGATGCTACTAAAAATGACAATTTTCCGATACTTTTACCTGGAGTTCACCTATAAAATCAGGTTTTTCAACAAGTGCACAGAGAAATGTTTTTATAGAATTACCAATGTAAAAAAAGTGACCTTGACATAGCTATTACTTCTAGATACTACACAATGAAAAACATACAGATATACATATGTTATCATTCAGTACTTATACTCCGAACTTACGAAACAAAGATGACAAGACGATCTTGATAGAGCTAGTGTCACCTCAGCGTACCAAAAACGTTTGTTTATTGATTTTCAGATAAGATAATGTTTTGCACATACTGATCTTCAAACTTCAAAGTCGGTGAGGTAGTTAGACTTATTTACTAATATTCTTATTTACTATAGCAGGTAAAATCTAGGTACACCAATTTTCAAGTTTTGAAGCGCAAATACGCATTTTCATACTTTGACTTTCAAAGTTCAAGGTCAAAGAAGTCACTAGAATTTTTTTACTAATTTTATCGTATTCAGCGACTCATAAAACGTAGGTATACCAATTTTCAAGCGCAAATACGCAGTTTCATTGTTTGACTTTCAAAGTTAATTTTGAAGGTCAAAGAAGTAACCAGGATTTTTTTCAATTTTTTTCCTAAATTTAGTGCATTAAATTGACCTTATAAACATCTATTACGTTCGCTTTTCTTGTTGGTCCATATATGGACCAGTCTCGGAGCGAAAAGGTTAATGTGTTCCTTTGTTCTAGTGTGTAATTGTCTTTTAGTTTGCCCTATGTAGCATTTATCGCACGTGTTGCATTGAATGCAGTAGACTACATTTTTTTGTTTGTTGTGTGGAACTTGATCNTTGTGAGTTTTGATAAATTTTGAGAGTTGATTCAAATTTCTATATGCTGGTTTGATATTAATGTTTTTATGTTTTAAATTTTTGAAATGTTTTGAAATGATAGGTATATATGGTAAAACAAAATATTGTGTACGTTCATCATCCTGTGTTGATTCATTAATGGTATGTCTATTAAGTTTCTTAGTAAATAACAATCTCAACTTTCTATTTACTGTTTTGAAAAGTAAGTCTATTGGATAATTGTTGATAATGAGAGTGTTAATACAAAATTGTATGTTTTTGTTATGAAATTTGGGATTCGATAATAATATTGCTCTGTCTATTAATGTGTAAATTGTGCCTATTTTATATGATAATGGACTCTGTGACAAGAAATTTAAATATCTACCCGAGAAGATGTGGGCTTGTGGTACCAATCGCAAGTTAACCTTCTGTTTTCTAAGCAAATTGTTATATCTAGAAAGTTGAGAGTGTCATTATGTTGTATTTCATATGCGAACTGTAATCTTAGGTGATAAGAATTGAACGTATTTATAACTTTGTTCAATTGATTTTTAGGGATGGATAGCGCAATGTCGTCAACGTATCTGTAGTAAAATGGAATGTTGAATTTTAGTGAATTAAGAGCTTTTAATTCTAAATCTTGGAGAGTGATATCTGCTATTATAGGTGAAAGTGGTGACCCAATCGGAGTACCGAATGTTTGCTTGTATATTTTGTTATCGAAAGTNAAATACGTTGACGACATTACGAAACGTATTGCTAATATAAATTCCTCTTGACTAATCTTAGTGTGTAATTTAATGTNTTTCCATCTGTTTTTTATGCTATCTAACGCTAGGTCTATTGGTATGTTTGTGAACAAGGATGTGATGTCCAACGAGCACAGTATGTAATCGTTTTGTATAGGTAGATCGGTAAGAACATTGTATAATTGAAAACTGTCTTTAATGTAGAATGGTGACGTAGGTATACTTTTGTTTATGATTTTATGTAGATATATGGGGAAATAATGTAATGGACTGTTGATTGTTGAAACTATTATACGGAATGGNCAATGTGGTTTATGGATTTTGGGAACGCCATAGGCGCGTGGTAATANGGAATCACTGGATATTAGTCTAGATTTTGTGTTTTTTTCGATGAANCCTTTCAAAAGCCATCTGTTAAGTATGTCTTTGAGTTCGGTTTCGATTTTGCATATTGGATTTTTTTGTATGAGTAGGTATGTGTTATTGTCTTGTAATAGTTCATTAACTTTATTGAAGTAATCTTTTTTGGTAATGGCAACCGTAGTATTTCCTTTGTCCGCTCTTGTGAACATCATATTGGGATTATTTTGTATAAATTTAGATGTTGATTTGATCTCTTTATTAAGTCTGTTTCTATTTTCGAAAGTGGTTCTTTGTCTTTGATAAATTTGTTGAAAAAGTTAGATTGTTTTTTACGTATGTTTGCTTTCGTTGTCGGATCGAATTTTTTGATATTGTTTTCAACATCCTTTATAGTTTCATAGATGATTTTATTTTTATTATGTTTTGGTGGAAGAGAGAATTTTTCACCGAATTGTATTAATTCTGAAACCTGATTAGGAATGACTTGATTTGTGAGGTTAATAAACCATTTATTATTTAAGTTGAAATTAGAATTGGTAATATGTAGGAACTGCTTAGGGTCTATGGTGATGCAGTGTGTGTTATTATTGTTGTGGTTAGGTGGGTAAAAACTAAATTGAAATTGTTTGTGGGGAATTGATTTTCTATGTTTAACTGTGTGCTTGTTGGATGACTCATCTCTTTGTGTTACATAGTATTTTATCGGTTTGATGTTTGTTGTATTCGTTTGCAGTGTTAGTATTTTTTTGTTTAGATGGAATTTCTTTTTGCTATAATACTTGTGTGATGTTACTTCTTGAGTATTGAGAAATTTAATAACTATGTTGTTGGGAATGTGATTGTATATATCTCGCGTTGTTTATGTTTTTGGTTACAAAGGAGGAAACTCCGAGCAAGACGAGAAATGTTCAGTCTTCGGGATCTAAAGCCAAGTACTCGACAGATCGGGCACGCGGTACCCGAATTTTAGTATAGTAAGCGGAAAATGGCGATACATTTTTCTTCTTTCAAGAAGGGAGGAAATGTTGTGAAATTTAGTGAAGTTTAGTTTAGTTTCGTACGGGCCATTGAGCAATTGCGGGAGGTACGCGTCATTGCTCAATCGACCCGAATTTGTTTTAAAAAAAGTAACAAGCAGCATTTCCTCGTAAATGAAATCTGCTTGTTAAGCGTAGTATTAAGTAGAATACAGACGCAGCACGCAACGTCAGCGGCATACGTGCAGTAGCAATTAAGTCGCTGAGTTACTGAGTGGACACAATCGATCCCTTTAAAAGATCGATCGCAAGCAACGACAGACAGATCGTGAGTAGCTGTTGAATACTGTGTGGCTCCGAGTCCATCCGGAGAGTTTACCGCAGTATAGCAACGGCTAAGTGCCAGTGTAAAGCGTGCGTTAACTGTATAGAATATAGTAATAAACTACGCCAGTTTATATTACAAGAATCTTATTCTTCACAGAAGTCCTTCATCTTCCCCGATCACAACAAGGTGCTAATATCGCGTGACCCAGCTTGCTCCAGAAGTCGAGGCCGATGAGAACCGGTGTAAGGAGTGGCATCACCAGGAATTGATGTCTATACGTTGTGCCTCCGATCTCAAAAGTCATTCGGACGGATTGCCGAATTGGTGTTCTGATTCCATCGGCGAGACTCACTTGCGTTTCCACGTTTCTGGCCCTAAAATCTTGTTCTATGGCTCGATTCGCTGCTTCTTGGTTGATAAATGACAATTCCGAGCCCGTGTCTATCGATGATTCTATCGGGCATTCGCGGACCATAATCGTACAATGTGGCCGTGGGTTGTATGAAAATTCTATTCGTTGGACCGGGCAGTCACGGCGCCTTCCACGGTCTTTGCGTCATTTCTCGGCCATAAATGGCAGTCCTTGGTGAGGACTCCGTTCTTACCACAACGCGAACAAAATTTTCTGGCAGGCTTCTGGCATTGTTAGCGTGTATGCCCGCGTTGCTTTCAACACCATCAATTCTGAGCCAACTCGATCTTTTATCTCTACACATACTTGTATAATGATTCTTTTCACAAACCATTAGTAAATATAGCATTTAGTACTTTATACAGCTGTTCATCTACTGATATTTTAGTCGTTGGTTCAACACGTATTTAATACTACTTTCTTATGTTCCTCGTATGATCACTCTCGTTGCATTCTCTTTATTGCTCTGTCTTTTTGCTTCTGTGTCCCTCTCATTTTTTCTTTCACTCTCTTTCTATCACTATCTTTTTTCCTCTATCTCACTCTCTCTCCCACTTCTTTCTCTTACTTTCACTCCTCACTGTTTTTCATTCATTCTCCCACTCTCTCTCACTCTCTCTCATTCTTTCTCTTACTTTTTTTCATTCTTTCTTATACTCTCTCTCACTCTGTCTCACTCTCGCACTTTCTCTCACTTAATGTCGCACTCTTTTTTAATCTCTTTCACTCTTTCTCATTCTCTCTTGCACTCTCGAGTACAGAAGGCGTGTCACACATTGCTTCGTAAAAATTATAAGTGTTTAGTAAGTAAATAATCAGGGAGAGTGATAAAAAATGGTTTAACTTATAGAACCATAAAATGAGAATAACTCTGAGTATTATCTAGTCAGGATATCCTCAATTGTGGCCGTGAGAAGTGCATTTTTTGTTCGGGACATTGAAGTTTTAGAAGACAGATAGACACTTTACGTGGACACAAGAGTGCTGACGTGTAAAAAGTGGATCACACAGATAAATGATTGCTTATGGTAGTAGTAACGATTTCGGTTGGTAAGTATCGGCATGACGATAAATATGCAGAGTACCGATGCTTGGCATGTAAGAATAACAATTACTGAATAATAAGACATGCACAGTACTTTAACGAGTAATCGACAAACGGCTGCTTGACCCGGTCACTTATCCGTATTTTCAGGGCATTCAAATATGTAACAAACACTTGCGTATCATGCACTTAATCCTACGAAAAGTTGCAACGAAACCTCGTGAGGCCCGATTCTAGCCGCTACCAAAATTCCAAAATAAGGCGAAGATTACATCCTTGCTTACATGAACAAACGCGAGACTTAGCGACTAGCCTGGCCACAAAACTGAAGCAACGCGGATTTGTGGCTTACAGATTAGAAAACGAGCACGTCACCGTCGTTCGTCGTCCTGCGCCATCAGTCCGTCTCGATCATCTTAGTCTGTATCTCAGGGGCTTGACAGCTCAGCTCAAACAAGCCCTGGAGGATCTTGGCGCTGGTACAACGCCGCTCGCATTCCCGAGCTCCCGCGAAAATTCTAAACTTTTGTGGCGAAGGAAAACGCGGATACTACGTCACAACACATATATTATGAATACAAAAATATAACTAAATAAGGAAATGTATAATGGCCATTTGAAGCAAAAACACTGGTGTTAACGTATGTATGATAGATGCATTACTTTATTCAAGCAGGTAACATATAATAGAACGTTTTCGGCCTTAGATTAGGCCTTTATCAATATATATATGAATATGATGTTCTTGAATTAAAACTTATACAAGTCACATGATTACAATATAGAAATATTAAAGTAACTGAGTATCCTCAGTTAACATATAATAGAACTGAGTATCCTCAGTTACTTTAATATTTCTATATTGTAATCATGTGACTTGTATAAGTTTTAATTCAAGAACATCATATTCATATATATATTGATAAAGGCCTAATCTAAGGCCGAAAATGTTCTATTATATGTTACCTGCTTGAATAAAGTAATGCATCTATCATACACACGTTAACACCAGTTTTTTTGCTTCAAATGGCCATTATACATTTCCTGTTTTATAAGAATTTATTGAAGCTTACTACACTCCTATTCTATAACTAAATAAATAAAACTACTATGTATAATACATTATATAAATATACTACATTATATAACTAATAAATTACCAAATGATTGCAAAGTAAAAGTAGCGATATTTTTGAATAAAACATTTTTACCAATTTAATTGTGTAGACTACATTAACAAGTTAACTTTGTCACCATCTTGATTTTGATAAAAGTATAATATACAATATACATATATATCAATCGATCAGATAAACAATAAATGTATAAATAGTAACATTAGAAAAATGTAGTTGGCGGTAAACTACTTACACTATTCTTTAAAACAGTATAAATACAATCAAAGAATAAAAGTATCTTTATTTAAAAGCGTCTAGTATTACACATGTATAAATCGGTAAACTCAGCAATTACGCTAAACCTATGTGGCAAATACTTCTACTTTACAGTCTTATTATCTTATTTATTGTATTTTAATTTTTTTTAATTTTTATTTTATTAAAGTCTTTAGATTATGAAAAATTATTGCAAAATATCCTCACGTATAACGTACATAACTACTTCGCGCTGTGTTTACGTGAGTGATACGTGCGTGATATATTACATATATAATATGCGATATAAAAACTGCAATATACATATGCTCAATGATCTTTCAAGTCTAGTTGCACTGCAACATAGAAATATTTTGAGAATAAAAAAATCTTTATTTTAAAAATCATTATCTTTATCGAAGTATATAACGCAAGTTTCCTATATAAAAGATGCTAAAAATAAGTTTTGGAAAAAACTTATCTCAAAATATGTATTACTATGCGATTACATAAAGATGTAAGATTACATAGAGGTTTTATGATATAACTTTGTACACATGTATAGATAACTACATAATTGTAGAAATTTTTGTTGTGCTTCCGTGGTACAAGTTCTTTTGGACATGAGTCGTTAGAGAAACAGGAGAAAGAGTCTACTTTAGACTTAACAAGTCTATTTTTTACTTGTAGAATCCACTTCACAGTACGACATCTCGTAAACTAATTCTAGCGCTGTGGTTCCGCAGCGCCGTTTTATCTTCCTTCTCAGTATTCAGCAACATTGTTTTACCCATATAACCTCGCGTCATCTACACCTCAGCAAAACGATGTTGCGTTACTTGCTTAACCCCGCTTGGTCAGCACGCGGAGACAGACCTGTTGCTTCCGTTGATCAAGCAACGTGCCCAAAAGTCTTTGTTCTTACAACATACTTTGTGCTAATTAAACTTACTTCTTAATTTCAAAACTAACACAATTTCTTAACACGTTGTGCAACTAATAACTAATTTCTTAACCACAGAAACAATAAAAGATTTTATAATTCACTACTTAAAACAATAATAACTCTGGAACAAC